GCATCATACGTATCTAATACCGCAGTTCAAAATATATGAACTTCATATATTCATTGTATCTGATTTATCATCACGGGTTTATTACGAATCAACTTAACGGCCTGCTCCCAGTTGGCTTGTTAGCTCAATTGGTAGAGCGCCGCACTAGTATCGCAGAGGTCAGTGGTTCGAATCCCGTACAGGCCTGATTTTTTTCAGGTCTGATTTTCGCTATTGCATAAATAGCGCTCTCTACAGCGAGGATCGTGCATCATACGAATTACTGTTCATTAGAAAGTAAAAACGACATTCATTTGAATAAACTCGTGTACTGCATGTAACCATTTGTTACCACTCAGTGATTACATATGAACAATAAATGACTCACAGGATCACTAAGAATGTCAAATGCATTGGCAAGTGTCTTAAAAGCCTCATCTGCTTGAGGGTGGGTATTCTATAAAACAGAAACGAAATGAATGAGGATGAAATACACTTGAACAAGACTTCTTTTAATAAGGCAATATTTAAGCAAAGCAAGATCTAAAGGGACTATTTAACAATTACTCGCCATGGGCAAAGTGAATATTGTTGAATTATTCAACAATGTTCATTGAGCCTCAGGCAAATACAGTCCAATCTGTGTTTAGTGGTTCTCCACGGTGAATGATGAGGTGACCGCTAAATAAAGGTTCACCGCCTAATAAAGGTTCCTCAGTAAAGAGGTATTATAAAAGACAATTAAAAAAAAACGCGATTTTTATTCTATAGTTGACCACTTGATGTACAAAAGCTGGCTTGAGAACAAAACAAAGTTTAAGTGAACCAGTGACATTTCCTTTTGTAAAACTTCTTTCTCAAATTTTCATTCAAGGTACACAAATTTGACAGGGCAATGATGGGGTTAAGATTGATCATAAATTCATGTTCTGTTATTTTATTTTTACCTATTCATTTATTTGTTTATTTTTTTGCGGGGGGGGGGGCACTGTAACATCAGGCCTTTTAAAGTGCGAGCCATTTGGGGGTTGCATGACGAGATTAGGCAACCAACTTAACCCACCTTGTCTGGATGGATCAGTACAGCTAATTTCCTGTATTGCTTTCTGATGTCATCTTCCGTAGCATCGCTTGGTACACAAAGGACACTACATATGAAAAATAGAAATCAATCAGTTACTAGATCATTTTTCCATACCAGGTACCCGTCGTCTGGCCCGGTGATTTCGTCGAAGTCAAGGTACCTGCAGAGCTACGAGCCGAATCCACAATTGCGTTAGAGCCTGCCCCCACCTCCTGGCTCCAACCACAACTGGTAGTCATCATAGACGGTAAAGCCCGCATAACGAACGGACACCGACAAACCACAGGCCATTAGACGGCACGAACAGATCTGCTTCGCCCGCCACACTACTCAAGATGTTCCAGTTATCAATCCCTCCCAAGTCCCTTCTCCCCCCCTCGCAGCCAAAGGTCAACACTCCATACTCCCACGGCGTTCAGTACCAACAGCGTCTGAACAACCACTCATCCAGTGAGCATGCCAAGAATCCCAGAGGCCTCGTACCACCCGAACCCCAGATCAAAGTTGGCGATCTGGTCTATCTAGTGTCAGACCGGAACAAGCTCCACGCCCGAAACCGCTACCTCGTTACAGAGATAAACGACCC